GACCAGGGTTAGAATGTTAGCAGTGCTTATCATCTTCAATGAATTTAAAAATGGGGAAGAAAAGAATATTTTTAAATATAAAAATATTACTTGATTTTTCTAGTTAGATCTGAGGAGTGGAATCATTAACTGAACTTTTTACTTTTAAACTTTAAGGATATATTTATTGCCAGAGAATTGATCAAAGTGACTATGCCAGCAGTACACAGAAGACAACCAAAGATGAGCTATTGAATTTACTAAAAACTATTGATGAAGATTCAAAACTTTCGGCCAAAGAGAAGAAAAAACTGCTAGGTCACTTCTATAAGTGTCACCCAGACATCTTTATTGAGTATTTTGGAGACTGAGTTTTTAATGTCTGTATATAAGTTGTATATTTTAAGAATAAATTATGTATCATAAAGGTCCAATCACATTTGTAAGCTTAAGTTCTAAATACGAAACTGTACTTAATAAAATTTTTTTTGTATAAGCTTGTGTGTCAGAAACTGAGCATTAGATGGTGTATTGCTGTTAAGTTTTTTTGTTTGTTTGTTTTTTGAGATAGAGTCTCACTCTGTTGCCCTGAGTAGTGTGCATGGCATCAGCCTCACAGCAACCTCAAACTCCTGGCCTCAAGTGATCCTCCTGCCTTAGCCTCCTGAGTAGCTGGGACTACAGGTGCTCACCACCATGCCCAGCTAATTTTTTCTATTTTTAGTACAGATAGGGATCTCACTCTTGCTCAGGCTGGTCTTGAACTCCTGACCTCAAGCAATCCTCCCATCTCAGCCTCCAGGGTGCTAGGATTACAGGCGTGAACTACCATGCCCAGTCTGGTTTTAAGTATTGACCTCTTTTAGGTGAGTTGAATTATAATTATGCTCAGTTCTTTGTAGAACATCACAGGAATTTTGATGATACAACATTGTAGTGTTTACATAAGAAAGCATTAACCAGTAAGGCAGTCTATAATTATATATTAATAGGAGTATGGTTTGTATTTTGGAAGGTACTCTTTAAAGGTGCAAGATAGAAACTTAGGCTATGATAAAATAAATTTGCTAATTACCATAAGTCATAGACAAGTCAGAAATCAGACTGTTTTAATGCTTCTGAAGACTTCATCTTTCTAAGCTTATTGTGAGAAATTTCAAACATACATAAAAGTGGGGGAAGATAGAATAATGAACTCTCCCATGTGTCCATTAACCAGTATTGATAATTGTCAACTCATGCCCTGTCTTGTTTATCCCACCCATTCCTTGCTCCCACCCTGGCAAATTTCAGACATTATGTCACTTCCTTTATAAAATTTCAGTATGTATGGCCAAAAGATAAGGACATTAAAAACAACCATCAGAATCATAACTGAAACCCCAAATTCCTTAATATTAGATATGCAGTTAATATTCAAACTTTCTGATATCAAATGATTTTTACAAGTTTATTCAAATAGAGATCCAAATAATACCTATAAGTTACAATTGGTTAATGTGCTTCTTAAGTGTCTTTTAAAAAATCCATGGGTTCTCTGCTCCCTCCACCTTTCTTGTTGTCTCTGTGTCTGTGTCTATTGTGGAATAAGCCAGGTCAGTTGTCCTTTAGTTTTCCATAGTCTGAATTTTACTGATTACAAGTTTGGGCAGGCCTTTATCACGTTCCTTTGTGTCCTATATTTCTTGTGAATTGGTCATTAGAGGAAAAGTTTTTAGCAACTTTTTAACCAAGTTAATGATTATTTTGGAACAATTGCACTGTCAAGATATACAGGTGACCTTTGAACACAGATTTGAACTGCCCAGGGTCCATTTATACTCAGATTTTTAAAAATAAAATTTTAACCCAGTGTGGTGGCTTGTGCCAGTAATCCTAGCACTTTGGGAGGCCAAGGTGGGAGAACTCTTGGAGGTCAGGAGTTCAAGACCAGCCTGAGCAAGAGTGAGACCTTGTCTCTACTAAAAATAGAAAAAACGAGCTGATTAGCTGTGTGGTGGTGGTGACCACCTATAGTCCTAGCTACTTGGGAGGCTGAAGCAGGAGGATCTGTTGAGCTCAGAAGGTTGCAGTTGAGCTATAATGATGCCATTGCACTCTAGCCAGGGCCACGGCGAGACTAAAAAAAAAAAAAAAAAAAAAAATTTTATAAAAAAATTGACTTTTATTGAGAAGTAGAGGAAACTCAAATGATGCACCGATATGCTAGCATGTCAGTAATCTTTTATTTTCTAGAATACAACTCATACTCGCTAGTCTTTAAATGGGTTAAAGTTTAAGACTAATATCTATAATATATCTGTAATACCAATTCTAATAAAACAGAATAAACTCAGGGTTTTTTTTTTTTTTTTTTTTTTTGCATAAGCAAGAAGGGAGGACTGCTCTCTTTACAATGAGGTGAAAGAAGATAGTTCATGACTTAAACGTGAGAGGAAGTTTTTAGAAACATGCTACTGGAACTGGGGAGAACAACATGGTTGGCAGAGCAACTACATATACTTTCTGATTTGCAACCTTTATTTTGCAAATAATTGAGGAGCATGGCAGCCAAAATAAACACCTTCAGGGGAAGGCAGAACTACTTATTTTCATGTTTCTAGAAGCAGCAACATTCTAATAGAATGATAATTTCATGGAAAATACACTAGTAAAACAAACCTGAAACTTCCTAACAAAATTTTAAGAAAAATTGATCATGCTTGCTGCAATAATTGTTAATGTTTTAAAACCACAGGTCCAGTGCCATCCTGAAAGCCTTGGGCAACCCTCCTGAGACGTTAGAACTGTCAGTCACCTTTGGATATGTGCCTTCATTCATGATGCCTTCCATCCCCACATACACACCTGATACCTAGTTGACTGTGAGTCTTGCTGTCATCCTAGCAGAGTAGACCCTGGCTGAGCACCTGATCCAAGACAGCCTCCTTGGAGATTGAGGCTGACTTTGCACAAAAATCAGCTTGGCCAAATTCTATGTAGGTAAATCTAAATTTTGAAGGAGCAGCAACTAAGTGAATAGAGAAACCAGCCTGTAGCATAAAAAGTGGTATAGACTACAGCAAGAAACAGATGAGAGCTCCTTGTGTGTTCCAGGAGAGCAGCTGCCACTCTTCTCCTTCCAAGCCCTATGTAGCCTTGCATTGAATCCCTTTACCTTAAAGTAATTTGAGTTTCCAGTTCTCGCTGCCAAAGATCAAACTGGAACGTGTCAATGTTTGCTTATTTTTTTAATTCAAAAGATTACAGGCAAACCATCCCAAATTAAGTCAGTGTGGTTTTAGTATTGCTGCAGTGCTCTCTCCATGTGAAACTGGTTATATTCATTCACTTGCTCCTAACTAAGTGAAAGTTGGTTTTATTAATCTTTCAAGGAAGGTAGTGGAGGTAGCTCTAGCCTGGCTGCACATTAGGATCACCTGGGAAGTTCTGAGCAGCTTTTTGCCAGGCATCACCCCCAGAGTTTTGTCTGATAGTTTTAGAACCCCTAACCCAAGATTCTAAGGTGTACTCAGGGTTGAGAAACACTCACCTAGAGAGTTTATGGTACATTAGTCTGGATTCAGAAGTGAGAAGTGCATGTTTTCTGTGTGAATCTTAATAGTTCCTTAGTTAAGATTAAGGGGTTTTAGTGGTTTGTGGTTTTTTTCCTCCTAAAGTGAATCTTCATCTGAGAACTTCTGTCTGGGGTTTTTTTAAACAAAAATACTTTAATGTGCTAGTTAGTAAATGGTTTGAGGGTCCTGTATTGCACTCAGGCTTCAATACTTTAGGAATAACTACCTACATGGGATCTATTTAAAAGTAGTGTTTGGGCTGGGCGCGGTGGCTCACGCCTGTAATGTTAGCACTCTGGGAGGCTGAGGCGGGCGGATTGCTGGAGGTCAGGAGCTCGAAACCACCCTGAGCAAGAGTGAGACCCCGTCTCTACTATAAATAGAAAGTAATTGGCCATCTGATATATATATAGAAAAAATGAGCCCGGCATGGTGGCACATGCCTGTAGTCCCAGCTACTGGGGAGGCTGAGGCAGGAGGATTGCTTGAGCCCACGAGTTTGAGGTTGCTGTGAGCAAGGCTGACGCCACAGCACTCACTCTAGCCTGGGCAATTAAGCGAGACTCTGTCTCAAAAAAATAAAAAATAAATAAAAGTAGTGTTTGAAAGCTCTATTTCCACCCCATCTGCTTTGTTCTAGTTGTTTAAACCTGTTTTATAGTCTACAGGTAGGAGACATTACCTTCATTTTGCTTAAGGCATGAAATTAATAGTTAAGAGTCACATGCCTTTTATTTTTTGATATTGAGCACAATAACAAACTTCCTATGCTCCTGGTCTGCTATTTTACTGCAGCAGGTTGAGAAAAGTGTGGTTTTCCTGGAGCAGCGCTGCGATAGTCAGGAGATGAGGCTCCAAAATAGGCTTTTCTTGACGTGATACACCAGGAAAGTGTTTTTCCTTTCCGGAACACAGACTAAGCATACAAAGCTCTCAGCGCTTAACGTGCTTAGGAACTACCTACACCAAGCTGAGCCCTGAAGGAAACCGTTTGTCCCGCCTTCCATCTTCAGAGCCCAAGTCTCGCTCTTCCTACACACAACATGCAGCAGTCACTTAGACAAAGAGGACTCTCAAAAACGGAACCTGTGCCATTGAGATTTGGCTGTCTAGGTGGTGGGCGTAAATTTTTTTTAACAGCCAAAATGAGAGAAGGGGAATAAAGTTTGTGCAGCTACAAAGACGATTGACTATTTAAATTTCAAGGCCAGAGAAACTGTGAATGCGGTTACTCCTGGGAGACCTCCTTTTCCTTCACTTGACCAAGTCGGCGCCTTCACCGCCTCGCTTTCCTCTCGCGTCGCCCACCCTCTCAGCGGGAACGTGGCACGTGGCCGCGCCTCCGCCTTTCCGTACGGAAACATGGCACCTCCCTGCGTGGGGCGGACGACTCCCGGCCCGGAGCCACTGCCCACTGAGCTTTCTTAGGAGGCACCCGGCCTCACCTTCCGCCTTTTCCTACACAAATATGGCGCCGCCCAGCGCCGAGCCACCGTTTCTCAACCCCCCTGGCAAGCAGGGGAAAGAGCCGCCCGCCTTTCCGTACAAAATATGGCGCCGCCCTGCGTTGAGCCGGCGCCTAGCGGCTAAGAGCAGCCTCCTCCTTCCCGACTCTGAGGAGCGGCCGCTCTGGCCTGTGCCCACTAGAGCTGGGCTGGGAGGACCGCCCGCGGCGTGGCGAGGGATGCGGCCTCGGAGGGGCAGAGGCTGAACCGCCCCTGCCGCCTGCGCGTAGTTCCCGCCTGCCCCGCGGCGCCGGCCCCCACCTGACTCACGGCGGGAGCGGCTGAAGGGAGAACGCCGACTCCGCGGCAGGTGAGGAGAGCCGGCGCAGAGGTTGGCGGGGCCCGCACGGGAGGCGCGAGGTCGAAATCACAGGCGTTTCTTTGCCTTTTCCCGTCAGGTTTGGTGACGGCGAGGAAGAGGCATGGACTGTGTGCGGGTGGAGGCCCACCCTCGAGGCCGCCCTGCGGGCGCGCCCCGCTGCCATCGCTTGCTCCCCGCCCTGCCACTCCCTCGCCGGCCCAAACAGTTGTTTACAACGGAATCTGGACGCCGGCGTGAGTGGCACTGAGTGCCAGAGGAAGTGACTCTGGCGGACAGAGCTTCCCCCCCCCTTTTTTGCTGAAAGACCCCTTTTGCTAGGGAGTCTCTAGAGTCCAGCTTAGGCCGGCGTGCAGCCCCGACGGACGCCCGTCTTCAGGGCAAGTGCGAAGATCCTCCTCCCCTCGGTTCCCCTTGTAGGCATAGTCGGGTTGGTGATTGTGGAATGAATGAGCGCACTGTAAGCATTTAAATGGTTTCTGGATGCCTCCTATAGCTCTTTAATTATAGTTACCATTTGTGGAAAGTCTATCGTGTGCCAGCCTCTGTTATGCTCAACCTCTCGCGTAATTTTCCCCCAAACCGAGGAAGTAGGTAGCTCCATTTTACAGATGAAGAAACTGAAGTAACAGACATAGTAAAGAGGCAAAATTGGAACCCAGGTATGTCTGAGACCAATGCCCAGCCCTCCCAAAGACACTGCCATCGCAGAGATGACACAGGGATTCATCTCTATCAACAAATAACTTAATGGGTATCTATTTGGGGACATAGATCTATCTATACGCGTGGAGCATGTGTGAGGACTATGGTTGGTCCTGACTCTTAAGTTCAAATCTAGGTGAAGAGTTTTAAAAAAAAATAAACACTAGCACTTTTACTATCTGGTCCCAACGCATCTTTCCAGCATCCTCACTTGCCACTTCCTCTTGTCATCTTCATGCGCCTTGGTTTCTGCCCTCTGAGTGAAATGCCCCCTTTTTCACCTCCTCTCCCCCTCCAGACATTTTCTAACTGGGAGAAATCCTTTTAAAGATCAGTTCAAATGCCACCTTTTTTAGGAGTGTTTTTCCAACCTTCTCCCAGACAGAATTAGTTTCTTCCTCTGCTGTATGTATTCCCTGGGCAATTTCATAATGCCACTAAGGCTTAAGTTTCATTATGGTTCCTTGTAAGCATGTCTGTCTCCTCCTCTATATTATGTATCTTCATCTTTCTATTCCTATTTAAATAAACATGTTTTGAATTGGATTTAAGGCAATGATGAATGCCAGATGTCTAGTAACTAGGCCTACAGGAGTTCAGAGAAAGGGGCAAACACCGTTGAGGTCCAGGAAGTGTACTGAGAGGAGATAGGACTTGAGCTGAATCTTAAAAGGATGGGGTTAGTTTACTAAGCTGTGTATTAGAGATCTAGAAATCCTGCCTTTCCTCCTCACTGCACAGAATGAATTACTTCATCTTTTCTGGGCTCCTTTTCAGCATGTGAAGAGGATAAAATTAGAAGTGCTTTTGTTTGTCCTTTCTTATAGAATATACTGGTAATGTTATCCTTTGGATCATAGAGCATTTCCAGACCCTGATAGGATTTAGGACAGAGAAGAGATGGGTGTTGGAAGCTAAAGTGGGACTTGAAAGAGGGAACACAAAGGAAAAACAACCTTTATACTAATAATACAGGCCTGAAAATTTCAATTCCAGTAACTTTATTCTGTTTAATGGAGTTTTCTGAAATTTCAGATAATTATATCAAGTGATTCTCCTCTCTCTAATGTGGAGAAGACAGTCTGCCAACTCCTCCAAGGCAGTCTACATTTCTTTTGATCCCTTGATTACCTTCCAGGTGTGTAATAAAGTCTACTTAGTGTTTATGAAAATGTTTTGTGATCTTCAAGTGCTAATGATACAAATGTTAATTATTTTCAGTAAATGCAGAAGCACTGTATCTTTCTTCTCCCTTAATTAGAAACACCCCAGGAATAGAGCACCCTAGGCAGGGAGAAAACATGACAAAATGTTTTAGTGTAATTAAAAGAGGCCTTTATTAAGTAGCACAAGCCAAAGTGTCAGGTGTTGTTCCTATTCTAATCAGTAACTAAAAAAATGAAAACCCCACCCAACGACATATATTATGGTTCTCTGTTAACTTTCTTTTGTATTCCCCGTCTTTTCCTACTTACTGGCAAGGAGGTTAATAAAAATATTTGCCCTACACATTCCTCCTAAATACTTTATAAGATTCTACCTTCTGTCATCCCCAGGTATCTTATCCACATGATAAGAACAGGGAATTAACTCCTCAGCCCAGTGGATTCACTTGGAAGCCTGATTAAAAGCAATATTTCCAAGGAGTTTTCCTATCTGCTCTCAGGAATGAAAGTAAATAATTTAAGTTAAATCACTCTCTTTGATTAAAAAAACAAGCAGTTTATAGTGTGTCTTCTAATAGTTTAAGACCCTGTCTTGTGACATGCTACTCAGGAGTGGGACGAAAATATTCTTACTTATTACTGTCTGAGAGCCATAAATTTGATAAATTACAAGTGTCATTTTACAAATATCTGTTTAATCATTGAAGTGGAATATTATAGCTGGATAAGATCTTAGCAAGCCCATTTATTTTACAGATGAGAAAACAGAAACTCAAAGAGGTTAAATGATTTGCCTAGTAGAGTCACATTCCTAGTTGGTAACAGAGCTAGGACACTTTTGGTTCATTATTTTTTTCTTTCCTAGGAAAGTGAATAAACTTAATTGAGAATGTCTGAAAACCTTGACAAGTCCAATATAAACGAAGCAGGAAAATCAAAATCAAATGATTCTGAGCAAGGCCTTGAAGATGCTGTGGAAAGTTCTGATGAAGCTTTACAGAAAAAAATAAAGTCGGGCTCTCCTAGCCCCCAAAGAGTACAAAGACCTCACTGTAAGCAAATTGACTTTGGTGAAGCCATATTATTGTTTTTAGGTGATATTTTTATTAGGCCTCCTTGTGCGTGTGGCCCTGAACTAGGTTCTAATAGTATGCTAACATTGCTAATAATTAGCATTTAAGAATAGCATCAGTTTCTCAACTGGCAGCCTAGTTACTTGTGGATTTTCAATTGCATTGGAAATTAAAATTTTAGAATAATGTCTGGAATGTCTCTCTCTCTCCAGCCTCAGTGACATTTCAGTTCCTCTGAGGTGCTTTGAGAAATAGGAGGGTGGAGTGCAAACTGCAGTTTAATTAAAAGAGTGTTTGAAAGTCTGAGGCTGATTCCAGCCAGGACTGTGTTTGTGCAGGTTAAAAAAATGTGAGTTCACCACACCCTAACTTCACTGCCTGGGGGCTCAGTTCCCACAAGGTTGAGGGGATTAAGTTTGCTGAAATGTGAAGTCATTTCAGATCCCTGGCAGGGAACAAACTTTGTAGATGAAAGGGTGGTAATTTCTGCATGTATTCCCAACAGTTGCCTCTACTCATGTCTTTTATTAGGAATACTTACGCTTTTTGAAGTGAGTCCAAGAATGAAAGTTTTAAGAGGGAATGTCATAGTCTAAGAATGTCAGTATTGTTGTTATCTCTTTAAAATATAGATGATCAGTAATTCTACATATTTGGAAGAAGTACAGACATTTTTTGGGTTTTGAGGTGTGTTTCTTCTAAAATGATAAAAGCCCTTCCCAGTCAACATAGTAATTCTCTTTTTTTTTTTTTTTTTTTTTGAGACAGTCTCATTCTGTTGCCCTGGCTAGAGTGAATGCTGTGGTGTCAGCCTAGCTCACAGCAACCTCAAACTCCTGGGCTCAAGCGATCCTCCTGCCTTAGCCGCCTGAGTAGCTGAGACTATAGGCATGTGCTACCATGCCTGGCTAATTTTTTCTACTTTTGGTAGATATGGAGTCTCGATTTTGCTCAGGCTGGTCTCAAACTCCTGAGCTCAAACGATCCGTCCGCCTAGGCCTCCCAGAGTGCTAGGATTACAGGCGTGAGCCACCGTGCCCAGCCCAACATAGTATTATAGCAAACATTAGTGGACTCTATGTTATCATGGTTTATTATCACGTAGATTTTGATAAATAAACTATTTGGTCAAATTGTGTCTAGGAAAACATGCTGTTAATAGCGCAGCCTTCTATCTCTAGTTTAGGAATTAAAAAAAAATAGTATAGTCTATCATGCGCGTGTTAGGTGTCATCTCAAATATGTATAGTTAGAGAGCTTTTGTTTTCCCATCTTTAAAATAAGGAAAATACGCCTATCTTAAGGTGATTGTAAAGATTAAGTGAATTCCTATAAAACACTTAGAATAGTGCTTGGCACATAATACATGCTCAGTAAATAGTAATTGTTGCCGTTACTAACATGTCATCTGTTGCATTTGAAGATGCTGGGATTGATTGCTGTGATGTGGATATGTACTACTAACATAATAGTTTTACTACCTATAGTTTCTGATAAAGGAGAACTTTTGGTTTAGGTCTTCATTCTTTGATTAGTGGCTTTGCCTTTGGCATCCTGTCAGCCTGATGCATGACTCCAAATTAATGTCAAACCAGTACTAGGCTATGTTATCTGAAATTGTGTGTAGTTATGTCCTTAAGGCAGAATATGTATTCTGGGACCTTTGATCAAGTTTTAGGGGATCCAGAAACAGCCAAAAAGGTACATCAACATTTGTATGTATATGCATTTTTTAAGAGGAAGATCATGGGAGCTTCATCAAATTCTCATAGAGGTCCATACCAAAATAAGGTTCAAAATCAATGCCCTAGGCTTCCTTGCTGTTTCTCCTTGTACTAATAGGTAGGTACAGGACAATGAACTTAAAAGGTAAAGCTAAGACGCCATCATTTGGGGACCAAGTAAGGAGACATCATTGCCCACATAAAGTGTAAATAAGAATTTAACAAAATATAAAATTAGCAATTTGCAGACATTTCCCCCAAACTCTATAAATGTGTAGCTGCTGAGTTTAAAGAAATTCTAAAATCACACCTGAAATTCTACAAGTTAAAATGTTAAATAGCAAAAAAATAACATTTATTTGCAGATTATAACACAGAGTAGTATTTTAAGGGTGGAATTGCTGTTGGTAACTGATGAAGAATACTGAAAAAGGAAAAATGGCTGGCTTGTAAGAATTGGTTGGCACTAATCTGAGGTGGTGATTTGATTCTAAAAGATGATCTGTTCTTTAAACATAGAGATCCTTAGAGTAAGGATCAATCAACTGTAACTTAATAATGTTTCCTCTAAGATCCTGTACTTCCATACACTTTAATCCTCTGCTCACAAAGCAACTTCTTTTCTAACTTAATCACCTAGTTGACCAATAAAAGATGCCATATTCAGATGACACATAAATCATTTGTTATATTCTGGTTAATATTTCCCAGTTATTACTTTGATTTATTAAATGAGGTCCTTGTGAGTTTAATTAGTAGATCCCAGTAATCTTAGTTGAATGGAAGACATGAGTTCTTACATTTGTAAAGCTCATGACTAAACTTTGAATTATGGTGTCTCCATATTTATTGAGTGTGTACTGTGTATTGGAAATTAAGTAGTGAACAAGACACATATTGTCTCTGTCCTCGTGGAGCTTGCAGTCTCCTGAGGAAGACAAATTAACAAGCAGTTTCCATCCAGTGTAATAAAGTTATATGGATAATCTTTACCATGGCCTTACTATACTAGAGTAGTTGTTTCAGTGACAGTTGCCCTCTATAAATGTCCATCCACTTATGTGGCTAAAAGCATCTTTTTAGAGTGTGTAGACTGCTCAGATCCCAGGACACCTTAGTAAAGAAAGGTAGAGAGTACAACTGTTCTAAATTAGAACTTCATTTTACTTTGGAATCTGTCTGACAGCCTCCCAAAGGCCATGTTTAACTTAATGTGTTTTTCAGTTTCTCTAACAGGGCATCAGTGCACAAACCTATAACAGAATTTAGTAACAGCTTTAGCTTTATATCACATAATAAGATAAAATTTTGAGTAGGATATATGTAACCTTACTTTTTTTTTTTTTTTAAAGACACAGGGCCTCACTGTGTTGCCCAGGCTGGACTTCTTGAATTCCTGGGCTCAAGCAATCCTCCCACCTCAGCATCCTGAGTGGCTGGGACTACAGGCCACTGTGTCCAGCTTAACCTTACTATTTTTCATGGCTCTTATTACAACGCAGGCTCTTTTCATAAATTGAAATAAATCTGTGTTGTCCACAGCTTTAAAAGTTCTTATTTATGGCCAGGCACGGTGGCTCATGCCTGTAATCCTAGCACTCTGGGAGGCTGAGGCGGGAGGATCATTTGAGAGCAGGAGTTTGAGACCAGCCTGAGCAAGAGCGAGACCCGATCTCTACTAAAAATAGAAAGAAATTAGCCAGACAACTAAAAATATATAGAAAAAATTAGCAGGCATGGTGGTACATACCTGTAGTCCCAGCTACTCGGGAGGCTGAGGCAGAAGGATTGCTTGAGTCCAGGAGTTTGAGGTTGCTGTGAGGTAGGGTGACGACATGGCACTTTAGCCTGGGCTACAGAGTGAGACTCTGTCTCAACAACAACAAAAAAAGTTCTCATTTATGAAATTGGCAAATTTGAAAACTCTCAAAAAATAAAAAGTTCCACAACCCTATAATTTTTATGCAATGAATATAATTCCTCTGTGCATAGATCTGTAACATCCTGATCATGTCTTAGAATTGTAGCTTTTTTCTTTCTTGATCAGGTACCCTTCATTAATCAGTTTGCTTTTAAGTAGTGTCTAACTTAAGCAGCTCCTGAAAACTTTCTTCTTCCTGGTTGTCTGATGTTCTTTCAGTACTGATTTTTTTAAAGAGTATTTATTATTTTTAATTTAATAAATATTTTACAGAGACTGAAAATAAAAAATGGGTGATAGGTAATATACAATTATGTACTTCTGTTTGAGGTACATAACATTTTCTCTTAAGCCAAGTATTAATATTTTATCTAAAACATTTAATTCAATATATATCTTGACAGGAATCAAAGAATATTAAAATTTTAACATCTAAAGGAAACACATATATTAAGCACAAACAATATAAATCAATTTTCTTATACAGTAGACACTTGGACTTTGCAGATGCAACATTAGTTCTTTTACCCATTTCTAAATAATCCTGGAGGTCTAAAATATTTAATAAGTGGCAATATTTCTGGGAAGCATTATTTTGAAATGGAAACATTAGTATGCAAAAGCAAGTCCCCCAACTCAAGCTTGATCTTAGTGCGTCAAGCCCCAGTATTTGCTTTGCAGTGCAACTTTGCTATTCTTATTTATTATACTTATTGTTTTGTCCCAAGTATGCCCAAAACACTTGACTATACACTTGCCTAGAACTTAGAGGATTCTTATTTTTCACAGAACACCTTTAAGTCTCATTTCTCTTTTTTGGGGGGGGGAGTCTTGCTTGTTGCCTTGCCCCAGCTAGAATGCAGTGTAGTTCACTGCAACCTCCAACTGCAGGGCTCAAGCAATCTTCCTGCCTCAGCCTGTTCAATAGCTGGGGCTACAGGCGCACCTCACCACACCTGGCTGATTTTTCTATTTTTAGTAGAAAAAGGGTCTCACTCTTGCTCAGGCATTTCTCACACTACTGAACTCAAGCGATCCTCCCACTTTGGCCTCCTAGAGTGCTAGGATTACAGGTGTGTGCCACTGTGCCTGGCCCATCATCTTTTTGCATGTGAGAAAACAAAGACCCTGGGAAATTTAAATGATTTTTCAAGGTTATATCCAACAGAGTCTAGAAGAAGTTGAATTTCTTCCTGATTTACTCTGTCCATTGTGTTTCATGACTAAGCAGCGTAGTAACAGTATCTATTATTACCAAGATGCCTAAAATTGTTGAGAAATAGCAAATTTACTCAGAGAACTTGATGCGTTTCTGTTACTTTCATAAATTTAAGATGAGACTTTGATTGTTTTTATAAAACCAGAGTTAAAAACTTGGAAGCCCTAATGACGATCTCTGAATTTCTTTGTAAGAGTTAAGAATTTGATGGTGTTTCATAACTCCCAATGCTTGATATTAACATCCCCGCAGTGGACATTCCATTTTCTGATAACTAGTAACAGAAAATATGAAATTGAAGGAATTTAATAATCAGTATATGTGTGTGTATGTGTCTTAGAAATTTTAAATCTTTATTAAGGCATAATTTGTATGTAATATACCAATTTTGAGTGTACAGTTTGATGGCGTTTAACAAATACATTTACAGTCGCGTGACTACCACTATAATCATGAGCTGCTAGAATGTTTCTAGCACCTCTCAAATTTCCCTGCGCCCTTTGGCAGTGAACTTTTCCTCCCAACCCCCAGCCCTTGCAACCACTGGTCTGCTTTCTGTCACTATAATCTTGCCCTTTGTATAACTTCATATAACTGGAGTCATACTGAATGTAGTCTTTTGTATTTGGCTTCTTTCACTTGGGATAATGCTTTTGAAATTCATCCACATTTTTGCATATATTAATAGTTTATTCCTTTTTATTGCTGAGTAGTATTCCATTATATGGTATTATACTGTAATTTGTTTATTCTGCAGTTGATAGACATCAGGATTATATCCAGGTTTTGGCTGTTATGAATAAAGCTCCTATTAACATTTGAGTACAAGTCTTTGCACGTCATATGCTTTCAGTTTTCTTGGGTAAAGATTCAGGAGTGGGATCGCTGGGTCATGTCATAAGTATATGTTTTATAAGAAACCTCCACACTGGTTTCCAAAGTGACTGTATCATTTTACATTCCCACTATCCATGTGTGAGAGTTACACATACTCCATGTTTATGCCAGAACTTGGTATGATTAGTCTTTTTAATTTTGGCCATTCTATTGGATATATAGTGGTATCTATGTGATTTTAATGTATATTTCCCTAACGATTGATGATGTTGAGCATCTTTTCCTGTGCTTACTGGCCATTTGTATATTATCTTTGGAGAAATGTCTGTTCGAATCCTTTGCTCATTTTTATTGGTTCTTTGTCTTCTATTTGAATTGTAAGAGTTCTTTGTATATTCTGGGTATATGTCTTTTATTGTATTTATGCTTTGCAGACATTTTCTCCTGTGGAATAGGAGAAAAGGCATTAAGAAAATGCCTTTGTATAACTTCATGCCTTTTCATTTTCTTAATAGTCTTTCACAGAGTGAAAGTTTTAAATTTTGAAAAAGTCCAGTTTATCTATTTATTCTTTTGTAGTTTCAGCTTTTTGTATCTTGGCTAATCCAAGATCACAAAGATTTTTGTCTATGTTTTCTTCTAGAAGTTTGATAGTCTTAGCTCTTACATTTAGGACTATGGTGCATTTGGAGTTTTTGTTTATCATGTGAGGGTAATTCTTTTGAATATAGAAATCTTTTTTTTTTTTTTGAGACAGAGTCTCATTTTGCCCAAGCTAGAGTGAGTGCCATGGCATCAGCCTAGCTCACAGCAACCTCAAACTCCTGGGCTCAAGCAATTCTACTGCCTCAGCCTCCCGAGTAGCTGGGACTACAGGCATGCGCCACCATGCCCGGCTAACTTTTTCTATATATATTAGTTAGCCAATTAATTTCTTTCTATTTATAGTAGAGACGGGGTCTCGCTCTTGCTCAGAGCTGGTTTTGAACTCCTGACCTCAAGCAATATGCCCACCTTGGCCTCCCAATATGCCCACCTTGGCCTCCCAGAGTGCTAGGATTACAGGCGTGAGCCACCTTGCCCGGCCTCTTTTACATATAGAAATCTAATTATTCTAGTACCATTTGATTAACAAAAACCTATCCTTATCTATTGACCACATATATACATACATACATATGTGTGTGTATGTGCATGTATACTAATTTCTGGATTTTTCTGCCTTGTTCAGTTGATCTTATGTATCTGTCCACATGCCAAAAATATAGTGTCTTGATTATAAGTAAGTTTTATATTAAGTGTTGAAATCAGTTAGCTTAAGTTCTCTGTTTTTCTTTTTTAAAATTGTTTTGTCAGGTCGGGTGCTGGTGGCTCACACCTGTAATCCTAGATCTCTGGGAGCCTGAGGCGGGCAGATCGTTTGAGTTCAGGAGTTCGAAACCAACCTGAGCAAGAGTGAGACCCCGTCTCTACTATAAATAGAAAGAAATTAATTGGCCAACTAATATATGTATAGAAAAAATGAGCCGGGCATGGTGGCACATGCCTGTAGTCCCAGCTACTCAGGAGGCTGAGGCAGCAGGATCGCTTGAGCCCAGGAGTTTGAGGTTGCTGTGAGCCAGGCCGACGCCACGGCACTCACTCTAGTCCACGGCACTCACTCTAGTCTGGGCAACAAAGTGAGACTTTGTCTCAAAAAAAAAAAAAAAAAAAAAAGTTTTGTCTTTTCTAGGTCTTTTGCATTTCCATATAAATTTTATAATCAGTTTGGCAATTTCAACTAAAAAGCCTGCTGAGGTTTTGATGGGATTGTGGTTAATAGATTTATTTGCAGAAAATTGATATCTTGAGAATTAAAAAGATCTTTGTGGGTTTTGATTTGGGATATTTATTATATTTTGCCAATATCCATGAAGCTAGATTTATTCTATTTATTAATATTCTCTGGAAATGCTGAGAAGAATTTTGTGAGGAGGAATTTTGAGAGTTTTCCCAACTTCCCCTTAAGTGACCAAATAAAGATTTCTACCAAACAGGATATGACCAGCTCTTAGGTTTGGTTCCTTTTTTTAGTGAGCAAAAGAAAAGAGAAGGAAAATAACTAACCTAAGAAGATCTTTATAACTTTTTTTTTTTTTTTTTTTTTTTTGAGAAAGTCTTGCTTTGTCGCCTGGGCTAGAGTGCAGTGTTGTTATTATAGCTTGCTGCAACCTCAAATTCCTTATGCTCAAGTGATTTTCCTGCCTCAGTCTCCTGAGTAGCTGGGGCTACAGCCACGTGCCACAACACCTGGCTAGTTTTTGTATTTTTTGTAGAGATAGGGTCTCAGAATGTTGCCCAGGTGGTCTCAAAACTCCTGGTCTCAAGCCATCCTCCTGCCTCAACCTCCCAAAGTACTAGGATTATAGGCATGAGGCACCACACCCAACCCAAAGATGACTTTTTCCGAAGTCTTTGACTCAGTTTGCCTGCATTCTACAAAATGTTTGTGTCACAAAATTTTGTGACAGTTCTGATCTGTTCATTGGTCAGCCTCAGAGCTCTCATGTTCTGTCTTAGTGTGAAGTGGTGGTTTTAGCTTTGTTTAAATAGCACCTGGCACCCTATAGAACTTAATGCTAATTTGGGGAGATTCATTCATGGCACAGTGTTAGCAGTAGTACAGAAGTAAACTGATGAGAGCAAAAGAGAAGATCTTAAATCTTTTTATTTCTTTTCCGGTAGATAGGAGGCAAAAGGATTAGAAAATCCTCATTTTATTGGGAAGATGATAATCTGTAACTTTTTTCAAAGTGTCAATTTACTGTAATCATTTTCCACTGTCCAGTCTTGGTAAAAACCAGATGTTTTGAGTATTATAAATGGTCTCTGCTTTTAGGACTCTAGATTAAAAGAAAAAACAAATATAAAATAGGTAAAATTCTGTTGCTATTTGAAAATGCCAGAACATTTTAATAGAGGCATAACTGAAATTATTGCCTGGTATCAGAACCACTGCCTTCTCCTTATTTTAATAGAAATTCTAATCTAGAAAAGCAAATTTCTTGCTTTTTTTTTTTACAGCTAGTCCTCCTCGATTTGTGACAGTAGAAGAACTTCTAGAGACAGCAAAAGGAGTCACTAACATGGCTCTAGCCCATGAAATTGTAGTAAATGGAGACTTTCAGATTAAACCAGTTGAATTACCAGAAGACAGGTAAAGTAGTTACTAAGTTATATTATTTAGTAGAGCACTGTCATTTCCCAGTTTTGGAAATGTTTTCTTCAATTGATGCTAATGTATTCAAATATTTTTTTTTTTTGTACATTGTTGCTAAAAAATATTCCCATACGTGGAATTACTAGAGTTCAAAAGTGGATCTCAGAAACACTGATCCTTCAAAATGCAAATAAAGAGGGATTTCACAATTCTCCTGTGAAAGTCTTTCATGTCAGCTTTTCCCTACTCAACAGGATTTAGCTGCCTCATTTTGTGTTTTCACTGCATTGTTTCATTCATTTATTTGCAGCAATCACAGTGTACTATAGTTGTTGGTTTACTTGCATTCTTCACCAGATTGTAAACTCCACGAAGGCAAGGACTGTGGCTTATTCTCTGTGTCCCTGCTACCTGGCACACATCATTTTTTTAGTTGAACCTAAGACTCTAATGATTGTAAGGTGCGCCTGTGAAAAAAAATGTACCATCATAAGAAAGAAAAAACACTGCCCATTATAATTGTAAGATTGCCATTGGTTTTAAGAAAGATTCAAGTTTCAGAGATGTTAAAATGTTAGAAAAAACATTTTAGAATCAAGGAAATATGGGTGTATGTGCCCTGTCAGCAGTTCACTGATGTCAGGACTCTGGATCGGTATCTGATTCTCATGGCCTGTCCCTCATGGTTGCAGGATGAATGCTGCAGTTTCAAGCATCTCATCATACACCTGCATTGCAGGCAAGAGGGAAAAGGTTAGGTGAACTAGGGCTCTTCTTTGGTTGGTGAGGAACATCTTTCCCTGGAGTCATAAAGCAGACATCCCCTAATGTTTTGTTAGTTAGAATTTGGTCACATGCTATCCCAGCTGTACGTGAGCCTGGGAAACTTAAGTCTGGCAAAAAGAAATGGAACTGTTATGATAGGCTTATTAGATCAGTCATGATTTATTATCACAGAGTATAATGCTCTAAAAAACACTGGGATTCTGTTAACAAAGAAGGCGGAATGGCTGCTGGGTTGGCAAACTATAGTGTCTCCCATAGGAAGCTTATAAATATGACTTTATAGATATTATGTCTGCAAAGATAGTACTTTTTCACATTAATAATGAAGAATTACTTGTTTTACTCTCAAGATATAAAGACTGGTTTTAATGAAATGTTATGTATAAGTTGCTATAGTTTGGTACCTAGTTAAGCAATTGTCCTATATATCGCATAGTAATAAGATAATTTTAGGAAATAAGTCCTTCAACCTGTTGCATGCTAAATTGCTACCCAACTACTTAATTATAAATATCTTAGAAAACTTGCTAGTATCAGGGAAGTAAAAATTAACAGGTCTGAACTTTTCAGTATTCTTTTATTATATGGCACTGTTATGTGCTGTTAGTTGGATTAATGTTGGCTACCAAATTAGTTAAAAGATATTCTTTCCTATGAAATACTCATTGGAAAAAATCACTAACTAAAATAAAGTATGTCATTGGTTTAAGTATGGTTGGGAAATCTTTCCTTGATCCAAATTATTTTTAAGATTTCTTACCCTAAACCCATAGAATTTGTACCTTTGAAAGTGATTTGAAACTCATATATTTTGCTTTTTGCCTTTTTTTTTCATTGTACCCAGCTTGCAGAAGAGAGTGAAGGAGATTGTACATAAAGCTTTTTGGGATTGCTTAAGTGTCCAGCTAAGTGAAGACCCCCCAACATATGACCATGCTATCAAACTTTTAGGAGAAATCAAAGAGGTGAGGCAAAGAGCAAATTTTGCTTTTCTGGTTTGTTAGGAATGTTTAGTCAACCTTTGTGTTACTATACCAGAAGACTTGGAAAAAATTGAAGGATCAAGAAGATAAATTACTTGCTGAAATGTAGATCTAGTATTTGTTTTTTGTTTTTTTGAGACAGGGTCTGTCTCTGTTGCCTGGGATAGAGTGCAGTGGCATGATCATAGCTCACTGCAACCTCATACTCCTTGGTCTCAAGCAGTCCTCCTGCCTCAGCCTCCCAAGTAGCTGGAACTACAGGCACATGCCACTGTACCCAGCCAATTTTTCTATTTTTTGTAGAGAGGGGATCTTGCTCAGGCTGGTCGAACCCCTGACCTCAAGCGATCCTCCTACTTTAGCCTCCCAGAATGCTAGGATTACAGGTGTGAGCCACCGAGCCTGGCTTCAAGAGTATTTTTGGCTTAATGCCCTTCTCCTTTATTTTTAATTTCAGGCAGTCATGATAACCTGAAGGCATTAAAGGCAGCAAAAGTTATTTTACAAAATCTAGGTTTTTATTTCTTTATTTATTTGTGAGACAGGATCTTGCTCTATTGCCCAGACCGGAAAGCAGTGGCACTATCGTAGTTCACTGCAGCCTTGGACTCAGGTGATCCTCCTACCTTAGCCTCCCTAGCAGCAAAGACTATAGTCATGCTCCATCACACCCAGCTAATTTTCTTTTGTTTTTGTAGAGACAGGATCTCACTGTATTGCCCAGGCTGATCTCAAACTTCTGGGTTTAAGCAATCCTGCTGCCTCAGCCTCCCAAAGTGCTGGGATTACAGGTGTGAGCCACTGCGCCACACTCGGCCTCTAGGTTATTTATAAATTTTAATAGGTATGAGCACTATGGAGCATTTGGGATAGAGAAGGATTTAGGTAGAAGGACTATTTTTATAATTCCTTGAAAAATAGTATCAAAGGTGATAGGTTTCCATGGAAATTGGCATCTGTGGTTGGCTCACAGGCTCACATTAATAAATGTGTTTTCCTTTTCTCATCATTAACGTTTTTTTCTTGTATCCGTTTAATTGCTACCCACAGCTTAAATGGAAGCTTAACTATTCTAAATGATTTGTAAACATATTTTTCTGTAGATTTGTTGAATAAGAAGTTAAAATACGTGCAACATTATAGTAGCAGTTGGCAAGCCCTTATGTGGATAGTTATAAATCCATGTATAATAAATGTTGTGTAAGAAACTTAGATTAAACTTAGCTGTGTTCTCTTGTAGACTCTGTTATCTTTCTTGCTGCCTGGTCACACTAGACTGAGAAACCAGATAATAGAAGTCTTGGATCTGGATCTGATAAAGCAAGAAGCAGAGAATGGGGCCCTGGATATTTCCAAGCTGGCAGAATTCATTACTGGCATGATGGGGACACTGTGTGCACCTGCTCGAGATGAGGAAGTTAAGAAACTAAAGGACATTAAGGAAATAGTGCCCCTTTTCAGGTATGGAAAAATGTTCATCATACTCGGTGCACCTAAAATTTAGAGCTACTTTCAAATTTCAACTTCCTAAAGTCTAATACTCATGCATTAAAAAAATTTTTTAAGGAAACATTTTATAAAATGGAGAAAAGTAAAAGGAAGAAATTCACTCATAATTTTACCACTCAGAGGCACAGTTGCTTATCATTTTGATATATAATATGTGCTTATATGTCAAATTCCCTCAATATTTTATTTTGTACAATTCCAAACCTAAAGAAAATTTGCAGAAACAATTCAATCATTACTCATATATCATTCATGTAGATCCACCAGTTTTTAATATTTGGTCACATTTGCTTTATATTTTTACATATATGTGTGAGTATGTATGTATGTATGTATATACTTTTTTCCTCCTGAACTTCCTGAAGGTTAATGGCAGACATCACATTTTACCCTTAAATAGTTACACAGCTACCTGCTAAGAATGTGGGCATTCTCCTAAGTAATCAAAATACAACCAAGGAATTCAAGAAATTTATCATTGATATAAACCTATTAATATATAGTATACATTAACTTCTTTTAGTCTTTTGAATATTTAATTTTAAATATCTGTAATTATGATCAAATATATATAATTTTTATGCTAATATAAAGGAGTGACATGATGCTGCCTTAGAATTTGACTTTTGGTTAACTCCCTAGCTCTGTTTTCCTGTAAACAGATAAAGGTGCTAATGCATCAAAATGGTATTAGACAACATTGCTTATGGAGAAAGTGACCTCTGATTGGTAAGTTGCATCTGAACTGAAAGGAATGATAATGAACTATAAATACTAAATGGGACGGACACCACTCATTGGACTTTCTGAGTGAAATAACTTTAATAACTGGGCATGTCTGTCATGGAGATTCTAGAAGTCATGCTATAGAGTTGTTACAAAATATATTGGCTCCTATGATACATGAGGCTTTTAAGCCAGGTGGCTCCAGCACCCTTCTGATGTGGCTCTCCTCACATCTGAGCTGTCTGCTGGTGGCTGTAACTCCTGCTGAAGAGGAGTGAGTGGTGCTGCCTGCTGGCAAGCTGTGTGAATAGATGATGCAAGCATGTGGCCTATGGGGGTCTTGTTAGTCTGAATATTCAGTTGAACCTAAGTAGGCCCCTGTTAACTTTATACCCTAATCATTTCACTTATTTTTTGATTGAAAGTTCTATTGATATAATTGTATATTCACATGGAGTTGTAAGAAGTAATACAGTATGCTTTATCCCCAATGGTGACATTTTGCAAAGCTGTAGTAATAATACCACAACTAGGATACTGATATTAATAGAATTCACTGATATTAGATTTCCTGTTTTACTTGTACTCAATTGTGTGTATGTATATTAACTTTTACACAATTTTATCATCTGTATAATTTGTGTGTGACCCCCCACAGTCAAGATTCTGAGCAGTTCCAACACCACAAGGATCTCTTGCATTGCCTTGTTGTGACTAACTTATTTTTTAAAACTCTCCATAAGCATTTTCAATGAATGCAAAATATTCATTTGCATAGATAAAATTAACTATTTTTCTCTTAAGAAAGACAATCAGATCATCTATAATTATTTACTATTTACCCCTGCAATGAACATTTTTATGCATAAACTTTTCCTGTATTTTAGGTTATTTCTAAAAGTAGGTTCTTTTTCACTTATGTGAAATTATTAAGGGGGTACAAATGTTTTTGTTATATGAATAGCTTTTATAAGGCTTGAGTCAGGGCTATTAGGGTGCCCTTCACCTGAAATAGTGTTCATTGTACCTATTAGGTAGGTTTTTACCCCTTCCCTAAAGGTAGGTTCTTAAAATGGGTTTACTGTATAAAAAAGTATGAACAGTGTTAAGATTCTCATTGCATGTTACCAAGTTGCTTTCCAAATGTTTTAAGCAAAAAAAGAAAAGTCTTTCATTTCCAGCATTCTTGATATCATTTATGAAAGAGAGAGAACAGATGGTATATCTTATCTCATTTCTTCCATATGTACAGAAATGCTCTGCCTTGTCAAGTTACCTCAATGTTTGTTTTGTTTTGTTTTATTTTATTTTATTTTGAGACATGAGTCAATGTTTGTTGCCCCTAGGATAGAGTGTGGAGTGGTGCACGTGCCCCATGGCGCAGCATAGCTCACAGCAACCCTCAAACTGTGTCTGGGCTCAACGCAATCTACTGCCTCACCTCCCGAGTAGCTGGGACTAGCAGCATGTGCCATGTACAGGCAGTGTGCCAACATCCCTGGCTACTTTATATTACACACACCACACAACACACACAGCACACTAAGCCTATATTCATTGCCATTAATTTCTCTTCATTTATGTTACGACGGGGTCTCGTCCTTGCTCAGGAGCTGGTTTTCCGTACTCATGACTTTGAGCAGTCCGCCTGCCTTGGCCTCCCAGAGTGCTAGGATTACAGGCGTGAGCCACTGCGCCCAGCCTACCACAGGGTTTAGAAAGCATTTATGTTGTGAAGTGCCCCAGAAAAAAGAAAAACAAAAAAGCATTGAAAAGATTTCTTAAATATAGTTATTGATTTGTTCATTCATTCAGTAGACTTTTATCGAGCACCTCTCGTGTGCTAGGCATGGTGCTGGACATCAGAAATAAAATAGTACGAGCTTACCGTCTGGCCAAGTTAAATGAGGAATTCCCTGGAAGAGAGCCCTCTGGGGAAATACAGCAAACTCAGATTCCTACTGTAAAAAAAGGGACTGGGGGCTGGGCGTGGTGGCTCACGCCTGTAATCCTAGCTCTCTGGGAGGCCCAGGCGGGCGGATTGCTCAAGGTCAGGAGTTCAAAACTGAGCAAGAGGGAGACCCCGTCTCTACTATAAATAGAAAGAAATTAATTGGCCAACTGATATGTATAAAAAATTAGCGGCATGGTGGCGCCTGCCTATAGTCCCAGCTACTCGGAGGCTGGGAGGGAGGATCGCTTGAGCCCAGGAGTTTGAGGTTGCTTGAGCTAGGCTGACGCACGGCACTCACTCTGCCTGGACAACAAAGCGAGACTCTGTCTCAAAAAAAAAAAAAAAAAAAAAAGGGACTGGAGAGACTGTGGCAAACGGAGGAGAACATGCCTCAGCTAAAGGAAGTGGCAGTGCCTCTTAGCTCCAGCTGATGTGGTCATGATGGAGCATGGGCCCACGTTGCCAGATCTTACGATTTTTCAGGAAAAGCCAGAAACCCAGGCTTTAAAAAACATTGTGTGAGCATAAAACATGTTTGTGGGTTACTTCTAGTCAGTGAGCTACCAGTTGGCAGTTTCTTGATGGCCTTTAACTGAGTGTTGGGAGCTGTTGGGAATGCCTCTAGGGAGAGGCAGGATGCCTTCCAGGAAGAGAGGACTGCCCTGTGTGTTTGGGAGATGGACAGAATTCGGAGAAGGATTTAATTATTCCTCAGACTGTATATCCTTTCCCATACGTCATTACCTTATGTGAGTGAGGTTATTCTGTCATATAATGCACAGTCAGTTTCAAAGGGCATGGAGACATCAGAGGACATGTGATCCTTTCCTACTTCGGTGTAGGGCCACACCTAAACCTGTATCTTGGGCTCTTAGCCACCTCCTACAAGTAGCACTTGGCAACTATTGATATATGGCAGAGTGGTTATGGCACGTGGCAGACAGAGTCAAAGGCATCTGTGGCATCAGGCCAGGTCAGGTCTGCCCACTTGGCACGTTCAGAGTGAGGACTAGCAATTATGCCACTCGAACTAGAGCATAAACATGTCCAAAAACTAAGAGATATTAGGTAAAAGGATGGGAGAAAGGAGAGAGTTAATTTTGTTTCCTGGGAAAATGAGTTAACCTATATGAGAATAGAGACTGGAGTGGTGGGCTTCCTGCCCTAACCTCTGGATTGAGCTCTCTCCTTCCTCTGTGCTACTACAGGAGTTGACCCTGAGTCAAGGAATGAGTTCTGGGCTGGAAAGGCAGGGTGAGGGAAACAGTAGCTTAAAAATTTACGGGCCAGGCAGTGGCTCATACCTATAATCCCAGCACTTTGAGAGGCTAAGGTAGGAGGATTGCTTGAAGCCAAGAGTTTAAGACCAGTCTGGGCAACATAGTAAGACGTTATCACTACAAAAAATTTAATCAGCCAGGCATGGTGGCATGTGCCTGTAGTCCCAGCTACTCAGGAGGCTGAGATAGGAGGATCTCTTGAGCCCAGAAGTTTGAGGTTGTATTGTGCTATAATCATGCCATTGCACTCCAGCCTGGGTGACAGAGCAAGAACTTGTCCCCACCCCCCAAAAAATTTACAGTCTTTCACGCCATTATTTGAGTATTTGTATTTTCTAAATTTGTTTTTATCTCCTTTTCTCACGATTTTTCGAACTTTTCTTGCTACCCTTTCTTAGATGAAAAGACTATCTCAAAAAAGTTCATCTCTTTTTCTTTAAAGCTATGTTTACTTTGTAAGTGCTTAGTTCTAAATCCTTTTGTCTCTTTTCTTTCAGGGCAATTTTTTCTGTGTTGGACCTAATGAAGGTGGACATGGCAAACTTTGCTGTCAGTAGCATCAGACCTCATCTCATGCAGCAGTCAGTTGAATATGAAAGGAAGAAGTTTCAAGAACTTTTGGAGAAGCAACCAAGTATGTTTAATGTTTTGTGGTACTTTTTTATTGTCTGTGTTTTTCATTTTAGTTGCTGTAGCTTGTTGCCTAATGATATTTTCAGAACAAAACTGAAATGTAGTATGACAATAATTTGAAGAAAGAAAAACACAAAATGTTAGAACTACATCTTGAGTTGTTAAATATTGAAAAGAAGACTTAATTTCCGGGCATGGTGGTGCACGTCTGGATGCTGAGGTGAGAAAATCGCTGGAGCCCAGAGTTGATGACCAGCTTGAGCAACACATCTCTTAAAAATACAAAACTAAAATAAAATAAACAAATTTTTTAAAAAGAAAACTTAATTGACAAGAGAAATGTGAGTAGGATATGAGACTAGAAATGAAAAGGAATGAAGACGTCTTAAATAGTTTTTTAATGAAAACACCAATTTGAGGTAAATTATGTTCTTGGTCTTGATTTTTTGAAATGTGACAAACTTCTTATGAATGTTAATTCACTTTTCTCCTCTCTGTGTGGTACAGCAGGAAGTTTCCATTTGCTTCTGTTCTACATGCATAAATCCTCTGGTTTCACACCCAGGAAGTCTCATTTTTATGAACCTCTCAGATGATCGCAGGAAAACAGATGACTATTAGAATCTAAAACTGTGTTAAATTTCTAGAGTGCTTTTTTTGGTCTATGCGTTAGCAGCTGATGTTCTTGGTAAATTTCAGTCTTCAGATCCAATTTATCATGAATTCTGTTTAGGCTCTAACTTTGCTGGTAACAAGATGAAAATGGCAGTCTCTAGATAGATTGTGTTGCCTGACCAGATTAGTTAACTCAGTGCCCCAAGCAGTTGATTCATCCAGCCACAGACAGAGAAGTCTGAGGTGGTGCTAGGGATGAGCAGAGTCAGGAAAGAGCAGAGGAGAGAGAGGAATAGTGGAAGAAGACTGGCTAACATTTACTAGTACCAGTCTTATGCCAAGGGATGTCTATGCATTATTATATATAATCCTCACAGTAAGCCTGTGAGCTAGGCATTATTTTTTAACCTCATTTTACAGATGTTAGAAACAGGTTTTGAGAGATTTTTGACCAGAATTGATTGACCACAAGCTCACACTCTCACCAGTATTGTAGTGGCCCTCAAGAGGCATCTAGGGATACAGTATGTGTGTATTTTTTTTTTTAGACAGAGTCTCACTCTGTTGCCCTGGCTAGAGTGCCGTGGCATCAGCTTAGCTCACAGCAACCTCAAACTCGTAGGCTCAAGCGATCCTCCTGCCTCAGCCTCCCGAGTAGCTGGGACTACAAGCATGTGCCACCATGCCCACATAATTTTATATATATATTTTTAGTTGGCCAATTAATTTCTTTCTATTTTTAGTACAGACAGGGTCTCACTCTTGCTCAGGCTGGTTTCAAACTCCTGATCTTGAGTGATCCACCTGCCTCGGCCTCCCAGAGTGCTAGGATTGTATGTGTGTTTTTAATAGAGATGGGGTCTCACTATGTTGCCTAGGCTGGTCTTGAACTTCTGGTCTCAAGCAGTCCTCCCACCTTGGCCTTCCAAAGTGCTGGGGTTACAGGTGTCAGCCATTGTGCCCAGGCCCCAGAGGGGGCATGGGGCATGAGGGTGGGTGGAGTGCAGGTGTGTGCGGTTTTGTAGGCTGAAGATCCTCTGTAATAGAGCTGGGCCCTAGAAGCCAGAGCACAGTGGAGGACTCACTGCTGGAGCGGAAGCATAGCTGTAATCCCTGCATCAGAATCAAGTACATATTCACAGCATAAAAGCCACTGTTTTTTAAAGCCGGTAGGCTACAGAGAATGCTGTCTGTTGAAAGCTAAAGGAAGAGTGAAGCTGGATGGTCCCGCAGTCAGAACTGAGAGCTCGAGTGATCAGTGTGTTGACAGAGGACCAGAGGTGCATCCTCTTGCCCCAGTGAAAGAGTAGACTATAGCAGAGACCTTGGCAGCCCACTTGGTCTTAAGGAGGCCTCCACTGGCAGAGCCGCTACACCTCCCAGGACCTGGCAGACATACGTGTCTTTTGTTCAGATAGTGTGGACGAGGTCCTCATGTTCTCTCTCTGAGTGTCTGTTTCTCTGAAAGTGCCTGCTGCATTACTCAGCTTAGAAAAACGGGGGGAGTGTGATGGCTGCTGAAAGCCAGCTGAGGGCTTCCCCCGACTGTGCTCCAAAGGCAGTGAATTCATACCAGACACTTCCCCCTAGGCCTAAAGTTAACCAGATTGATGGGAGGTTAAGATCTAGACAAAGAAAAAGCCTCATCATCAGTGTGGAGGATGCTTTACACAGAGAAACTCTATTCTATGTCTCATCCCATCTGTCTCTGGGCAAGAATTCTTGTCATCCCACAGAGCTAGAGTCATCAGAGCTTTCGGCCACATCTCCTGTAGTGTCAGGACGGGAAGGAGAGAATAAAGGTTTGTTGAACACCTGCTGAGTAGCAAGGCCTGGCTAGGTGCTATATATTCCTTGTCTTGCTTAGTTTCGCAAGAACCTGTGAGGTTGGTGTTATACATTTTTTTATATTAGGAATCTGATATTCAGACAGATTATGACTTGCCTGAGATCACTCACTAGTAACTGGCAATACTGTGATTTCAGCCACGTTCTGTTTGCTTCGTAAGTTCACACTCTATACCATAACACACTGCCAGGACAGTCTTCTCTAAAGTAATTCCGAGAAGCAGTCTTCCTCAATGTCATGGTAATGTTCACGGCTTTGTTTTTCACAGATTCCTTGGACTTTGTCACCCAGTGGCTAGAAGAAGCCTCAGGTGACCTTATGAATCAGAAGTATAAACATGCCCTGCCAGCTGGGGGAGGAGCTGCTGGCTGTGGGGACGCTCCCAGGCTGAGTCCTGTTGCTGTCCAGAATTACGCATACCTGAAGCTTCTGAAATGGGACCACCTCCAGAGACCTTTCCCTGAAGTAGGTGCTCCTGAGCAGTCTAACTGCTCATATTCCTTTGTATGCTGACCTTTTAAAAAAGAATAACTTCATTCGATATAATTCGCATACCAGAAGATTCCCCCTTTTAAAGTGTACAACTCTGTGGTTTTTAGTATATTCACAGAGTTCTTCATCTATTACCACTATTTAATTTAGAACATTTTCATCGCCCCTAAAAGAATCTCCTACCCATCAGCAATCACTACCCTTTACCCTCTTCTTGCAACCGCTGGTGACGAATAGTCTGTGTTCTATCTCTATGGCTTTGACTATTCTGAACATTTTATACAAATGAACTCATACAGTATTAGCCTTTTGTACACTAAACATAATGTTTATCCATGTTGTAGCATATATCAGTACTTTATTCCTTTTTTTTGTGGTAAAATATACATAGCATAAAATTTACCATTTTAACCATTTCGAAGCGATACAGTTCAGTGGCATTAAGTACATTCACATTGTTGTGCAACCATCACCACTATCCATCCCCAGAACATTTCCATCTTCCCAAACTGTAAAACTCTCTTCTGGTCAAACAATAATTTCCCTTTCCCCTCACTACACCAGCCTGTGGCAACCACCATTCTACTTTGAATTTCACTACTCTGAGTACCTCATGTAAGTGGAATTATACAATGTTTGTCCTTTTGTGCCTGGCTTATTTTGCTTAGCATAAAGTCTTCAAGGTTCATTTATGTTGTAGTATGTATCAGTATTTCTTTCCTTTGTAAGGCTGAATAATGCATTCCACTATATGGATATACTATATTGTGTTTATTCATTTATCAGTTGAAGAACATTTGAGTTGTTTCCCCTTTTTGGCTATTGTGAATTATGCTTCTGTGAACATTCATGTACGAGTTTTTGCATGGACACATTTTCAATTCTCTTGGTTATGTACCCAGAATTAGAATTGCTGGGTTATATGGTAACTCTAAGTTTAACATTTTGAGGAGCTGCCAAACTGTTTTCCAGAGCAGCTGCATCATTTTACATTCCCACCAGCAATGTATGAGGCTTCCAATTTGTGCTGCTGAACTTTTCTCCTGTTTTTACTGATCTTGATCAAAACCATAGCAGTGGTGTTATTTAAGGCTTCATGTAAGGAAACTTCTTCCCCTTCCATGCTGAGCAATATTTCTTTTATTTCCAACTGTAGTACTTCTTTAAAGGAATGACTAAGAAGGGATTCTCCAATTTCGTCTGTAAATAGCTAATTTCTCTCTTTTTTGAGGGCACATGGGCTTTTAATCTCTAGCCATAGATCCTGCTACTTCTTTAAATATCTCATAACTTTCTTATTTGTCCTTTCTAGAAGTTGTGAGCTTAAGGTTTCACCTCTTGCCTCTGAGTTCTCTGTTTTGTGCTGGAGGAGGATTTAAAGAAGATATTGAATTGAGGAGGGAAGTGTTCCTTTTAGAATAGTGACATGTTCTTTTCTGGAGGGAAGTTCTCAGCCTAATGTGTCTCTTATAAAATAGCTATGGGGAAGATGGTAGTTTTTATTGGCAACAGATATCTACTTTCAGAATTGATCCTTGGAAATCTTTTGCATCCTAAACTCACGTACTGTATACTATTAGGAAGCACAGAGCAAAATGAAGTCACAAGGATGCTGATGATAAGCCCATTGAAGCATATTTGTCTAACAAGATAATTCTTAGTCTTCAGAGATAGTTTTTACTTCTTGAGAAGAATTCAGGGCTGTGACCCAAATATTCATGTCTTGATTGGCATATCTCAGTTTCTTACTGCAAGATGAGTCCTTAAAGTTCATTTGCTTAATCTATAACAACTTACATCAGAAGCTGTATCTGCTAAGTTTTTCTGCTATTTCCTTCACCCCACTCAGGCATGGTAGGTCCCAGGACTGTCTTTAACACTGGAGAAGCAGTCATGGAGAAGCAGTCGGTGACTGCTTTTGGGTCCAGGCAGCTCTGTGTTGTTACCTGTCAATTCTACCCTATGTATTTACCATTTTTTTTCTTTTTCTTCACTTACCAGTTTTTGGGAGCCTTGTTTGTGCTGGATGCTTAAGGGGTACCAAGGTGAATAAGTATAGGCCGTGTCCTCAAGGAATGCCTGCCTTCCATTGCTCCGTATAGAGTGACTGTCCTGGTGTGCTGGGGACTGAGGAGAATTCATAGATGCTTGGGACTTGGGGGATTTCTTTCCTTTTTTTATATTTTTTGAGACAGAATCTTGCTCTTTTGCCCCAGCTAGAGTGCCATGGCATCAGCCTAGCTCACAGCAACCTCAAATTACTGGTCTCGAGATCCTCCTGCCTCAGCCTCCCAAAGTCCTGGGATTACAGGAATGAGCTGTAGCACCTGGCCTAAGTTTTTGTTTTAAAACTGGGATAGTCCTGGACAAACTGGGATGATTTGGTCACTCTTGCTCTGTACCTCATCACTCCTTCCTTTCTAATGATATAACTCCTATTTATTAAGTGCTGGCTCTGACAGCTACTTTATATACAGGATCTTTTTCATCTTTAAAACAGCCCTGCAAAGTAGGAATCCCCATTTTCCATAGATCTCAAGAGAGCTGAAGAGCTTGCATGATTTATCCCCCAGGTCTGTCTCAGTGAGTGCTTTTTTTTTTTTTTTTTTTTGAGACAGAGTCTCGCTTTGTTGCCTAGTCTAGAGTGAGTGCCGTGGCGTCAGCCTCGCTCACAGCAACCTCAAACTCCTGGGCTCAAGCAATCCTTCTGTCTCAGCCTCCCAAGTAGCTGGGACTACAGGCATGAGCCACCATGCCCGGCTAATTTTTTCTATATATATTAGTTGGCCAATTAGTTTCTTTCTATTTTATAGTAGAGACGGGGTCTCGCTCTTGCTTAGGCTGGTTTCGAACTCCCGACCTCGAGCAATCCGCCCGCCTCGGCCTCCCAGAGAGCTAGGATTACAGGCTTGAGCCACCGCGCCCGGCCTTCAGTGAGTGCTTTATACTGCATCCTTTCTCAGGGAGAAGGGACTCTGAGATGGAAGGATAATCTATACATGACTCCCTCATACCTCTGAAACAACTCTAAAAAACCATGAGGGAAACTGCAGAGGCAAGTGAGGTCTGTGGCCCCACCGCCCTCTGCTGGCCAGCCCAAATCTCAGCTCAGCTCTGACTTCTCTTGTGTTTATTACAGACGGTTTTGATGGACCAGTCCCGCTTCCAAGAGCTACAGCTACAGCTGGAGCAACTGACCATCCTGGGGGCCGTGTTGCTGGTCACATTCAGCATGGCAGCCCCTGGAATTTCCAGCCATGCCAACTTTGCCGAGAAACTCAAGATGATTGTGAAGATTTTGCTTACAGATATGCATCTGCCGTAAGTGGCTGGACTGTTGATGGATGGGAGGCAGCGTGTGGCTGAGAGCAGACGGGAGTCTCTCAGTACAAGGCAGAATCCAGGGCCACTTTCTAGGAACTGAGAAGAAACTTTTGCTCTCTACCTTTGATCACTTGGTGAAGACTCTAGCAGAATTTATTCAGGGCCATAGGGGCAAAGTTAGAATCAGCTGCAGGTTTAGCAAAGCTCTAGGATAGGGGCTTTAAGATGTTTGTGACTAGCCTGCCAGGGCCTTAGAGGCCCCACTCTAGGAGGATTTGAGTCATTATCCTTGGAGCAAGAGGGAGCCATGAAGGGTTTGAAGCATGAGAGGGACATAATTAGATTTATGGGGTGGACATAATTAGATTTTATTTTTATTTTTTAGAGATAGAATCTCATTGTGTCACCTAGGCTGGAGTGCAGTGGCATGATCACAGCTCACTGCATCCTCGAATTCCTAGGCTCAAGCAGTCCTCTTGCCTCAGCTTCCTGAGTAGCTAGGACTACAGGGTGCACCCACCCACCATGCCTGGCTAATTTATACTCTTAATTTTAAATTTTGCCTGGGGCTGGTCCGAAGGTAGTGAGTTATCTCACGTGATTGTTCACAGTCAGTTACAGATTGAACTCCTTGTTCTACTACTTTCCCCCCTCCTCACTACTGCACTTGACTAGTCTTAAAAAAAAAAAAATTTTGCCTGGGAGGGCCATAGTAGATGTGAGGGAGCATTTAGGAATTGAGAGAAGAGGTGGCTTTGGCTGGGTGTTGGCCATGGACAGGGTGAGGAGCTGGTCTGATATCAGTGGTTGCTTGGCCTGAGGAGTCTGAATTCCTGGGCTTGGGGGTCCTGTGGTCCTCCGTTCCCTTCCAGCATACTCCTCCCCAGCCCTGCTTGGTGCTGGGTGCCATCGGGTAATTTACTCTCCCTCCTCAGGGAGCAGTATGCTGTCTGACCCCTTTCTTTACTGGGGCTATCTTTGTCTCCTCACCTCTAAGGCTTCTGTTTTTGATGTTTGTTGAGTGCTTTCTTTCCTTCCCAAAACCTTTCAAATGCATTAAATTGTTAGCTAGAGTCCTTGAGGAAACTGAGGCCCAGAGACACTGAGTGGGAAAAAAAAATAGTGTGACTAGGATCCATAGTAAGAAACTCATTTTCGGCCAGACACAGTGGCTCATACCTGTCATCCTAGCACTCTGGGAGGCTGAAGCAGGAGGACTGCTTGAGGCCAGGAGTCCAAGACCAGGCTGAGCAAGAGTGAGACCCTGTCTCTACTAAAAATAGAAAAATTAGCTGGATATGCTGGTGCACGCCTGCAGTCCCAGCTACTTGGGAGGCCGAGGTGGGAGGATTGTTTGAACACAGGAGTTTGAGGTTGCTGTGAGCTATGATGACACCACTGCACTGTAGCCCAGGCAACGGAGTAAAACTCTGTCTCACCAACAACAACAAAAAGTTCATTTTCCATTGTGACCTAGTATACACTTAATACACATATGTAACTGAAATGAAAACCTCACAAAGTGAAACTTACCCTAACTATGCTTAATGCATCCTGATATTTTCCACTTTATTTCTATTCCATTAAAAAAAAATACTGGTTACTACCCACTGAATTGCTTTCACAATCAACTAACAGCCCTAGAGAAAGATCATAAAAAAAAACCAAGCTGTAGTTCTCCAGAATTGGATGTATACAATTAAAGTTTTTAAAGTTTTCTGCCCTTTGCACATTCCTTATAGACATTCTGTGCTCTGTATAAATGTATCGTTTTGTCATCCAGCACCAACCCACATCTGTGTGTGCAGATTTCTGTCACTTCTCCCTCAGTGAAGTCCTATTAGGGGATTTATATGGTTTAAAAAAAAAAATATATTTTTGAGTGGTTCTAACACTGTATCTGATAAAGTCCAATTCAGAGGATTCTTCAAGGAAAGTATCCCCCAAACATTCTCATCCTTACAAAATGAGTTTGCACAAAGCATGGCTGTGTTCAGTGCAGTGTGGGGCGTGTCACTTATTGTGACTAGGGGTTCAACAGTCCTGACTTAGGCCAGGAGGTTGTTTGCTTAGGTGAGGCCTAGCCTGAGTCCTTGCACAGGCGCAGCTCTGAGCTGTCACCTAGATCCCCTAGCAGTAGAACTGCTGTGTCAAAGCTACCAGCGAAGGGGGATCCCAGTCCAGCGCTTCCTCAGGAGTCTAGCCCTGCGCTCCCATATCCAGCCTGGCAGCCAGGGAGTGGGCACAAAGTTGGTAGCAGCTCCCACTCTCCCCAATACTTCTGTACATAGGAGCTAGACCCAGAACAAACGCAAGTGCCTTCTCATAGAATACCCACCAGGAGGAGGGCTCCCTCTAGGGACCCTCCGAGAGCCTGGGGACCCCAGGAAATCAAGGAACTAATGTTTTTTTTAGCTTTTGGGTTTTAATTTTATCTGTTCTTTTTAAAAGAGTTAATACATGCACATATTTCAAAAATCAAAATGTGCACAGGTTACTCAGTGAAAAGTTTCTCTCCCACTCCTGCCCCACAGCTGCCAGATTTCTGGTGTCTTGCGTATTCCTCCAGAGGTATCTCAAGATATTCTTAAGTCGGTTCCAGACTTACTTCATCACACAGATGCTAGCAAAAAGTTTTGCTTTGGATCGTTGGTCCTGATATATTCCAAGCCCCTCCCTTTCAAACTATTGTCCTATCTAGTGGAGGGAGAGAAAGAACATCCTCCCCTGTCAGGTATGCACAGCCTGGGAGGTAAGGGAGCAGGGAGGAGAGTCACAAATTGTCCCTTGAACACACAAATCCATTCATCGGTGTTGTAACTCTTGCCAGGGCACAGGCTGTTGGAGCTGGTAAGATGGTACTTGATTCACAGACTCTTTCTTCCCCTGGCTTTTCCTTTCCCTTCTCTGCTCAAGCTCCTTCCATCTGAAGGAAGCCCTGACTGCTGTTGGGGAGAAGGTGTGCCTGGAGGTGAGCAGCTGCCTCTCCCTGTGTGGGTCCTGCCCCCTCACCACGGACAAGGAAACCGTGCTCAAGGGCCAGATCCAGGCCATCGCCAGTGCCGACGACCCCATCCGCAGGATCATGGGTACGTTTTAGGGAGGCAGGCAGCAGGGGGGTCTAAGAGGGTTTTGGTGTGATGGGTGAGGAAAGAATGTGATTAATCACCACAGTGTGATCAGGGCCACCCAAAGGATGGACAAGTGACGAGGGCTCTGACTTTGGAATCCCAGGCTTACTCTATAGCTTGGGCAAGTGACTAGACACTTGAGTTTCTTCATCTCTAAAAAGGGGATAATGCCAACAACCTTATAAGGTAGCTGAGAGGACTACCTGGGATGAGGTAGGTAAAGTGCTTTCCATACTGCCTGGCAGAACATAGTAAGTACTCAGTAAAAGGTAGCTAGTATTAAAAAGCTGAACATTAATAATAAAATGCTATTTTAAAAATAAATAAAAATCTCCTAGCACTGGCCAGAGCAAATAAATAAATAAATATCAAAAATACTATTAAATATTAGCATTTAATAGTAAAATATAATAAAGCTATTAAAATGGCAATTTAAAATATTGCTATTAAAATTTATAATACACTTAAAGTATTTATATATATATATATAGTTTGAAATAGAGTCTAACTCTGTTGCCTGGACTAGAGTGCTGTGGCTCATAGCAACCTCAAACTCCTGGGCTCAAGCAATCCTCCTGCCTCAGCCTCCTAAGTAGCTGGGACTATAGGCATGCACCACCATGCCTGGCTAATTTTCTTTCTTTCTTTTTTTTTTTTGAGACAGAGTCTCACTCTGTTGCCCAGGCTAGAGTGAGTGCCAGGCTAGAGTGTGAGCCTAGCTCACAGCAACCTCAAACTCCTGGGCTCAAGCAATCCTCCTGCCTCAGCCTCCCGAGTAGCTGGGACTACAGGCATGCGCCACTATGTCCGGCTGATTTTTTCTATATATATTAGTTGGCCAATTAATTTCTTTGTATTTATAGTAGAGACGGGGTCTTGCTCTTGCTCAGGCTGGTTTTGAACTCCTGACCTCGAGCAATCCGCCCGCCTCGGCCTCCCAGAGTGCTAGGATTACAGGCGTGAGCCTTCACCTCTTGCCCCTCCTTTGCACAGCGCCCCCGCTGGCCAATTAATTTCTTTGTTTTTTTAGTAGAGACGGGGTCTCGCTCTTTCTTAGGCTGGTCTCGAACTCCTGACCTCGGGCGATCCTCCCACCTCAGCCTCCCAGAGTGCTACAATTACAGGCGTGAGCCACCACACCCAGCCTTATTTTTTTCTCTTTTAGAGATAGGGTCTTGTTTTGTCACCCAAGCTGGAGTCTAGTGGCATGGTCATGGCTCACTGTAACCTCGAACTCTTGGGCTCAAGCAGTGCTCCCGCCTGAGCCTCCCAAAGTATTGGGATTATAGGCGTGAGCCACTGCGCCAGCTGTATTAAACTAATCTTAATAAATATTCTATAAAATGTTAAAGATATTCTATATTAGCTACTACTTTTCATCATCAGAGCAGTTTCATGAAAAATTCTGTTAATTAGCGTGATTTAATCATTCACAGTGTACATGTATATGGAAACATGTTATACACTGTAAATATATACAATTTTATATGTCAATTATACCTTAAAGCTAAGGGGGAAGAAAAATTCTCTTCTTTGGTTAATCAAAGAATACAATATTTTAAAAACTCAGATTAAAATCTTTAACCTGATTTAATTTTCAAGCTTTTAAATTCTTTGAAAGAAATAGGTATTAAAGAAGTAATGCGGCCGGGCGCGGTGGCTCACGCCTGTAGCCCTAGCTCTCTGGGAGGCCGAGGCGGGCGGATTCTCGACGTTGTCAGCGAGTCGAAACCAGCCTGAGCAAGAGCGAGACCCGCTCTCTACTATAAATGGAAAGAATTAATTGGCCAACTAAAAATATATACAAAAAATTAGCCAGGCATAGTGGCGCATGCCTGTAGTCCCAGCTACTCGGAGGCTGAGGCAGGAGAGTCGCTTGAGCCCAGGAGTTTGAGGTTGCTGTGAGCTAGGCTGAGCCACGGCACTCACTCTAGCCTGGGCAACAAAGCAAGACTCTGTCTCAAAAAAAAAAAAAGAAGTAATGGAAAATAAGTAGGCTTCATTTCAGGCAGAAGCTAAATGATCACGGTTGTCACATTTCAGGTTAGGGTAGTGTAGTAGGCAGGATCAGTGACATGGGCTGCTTCTAATCCTATAACTTTTTATTCTTAAGTAAATTTCATGAAAAAAGGATAGCATCAGTAGTTTTTTTAAAAAATTAAATTTTTTTTAAAAAACCACTTCATCCTAGCCTTGTATTGGTCACAGTTTAATCTGTGCGTCACCTAGGAAGAAGCTTTTACAGGTCTTGCAGGGCCGTCAGATCACCAAGATTTATACTCAACATTAATAGAGGGGCAGGAAAGTGCCATTAACTAGACCTGGCTAATAAGCTGCTTCATGAACTGTCGTCTTGGTTGTTTCTTAATAGCTAGTTACAGACATGAGGATAAAAAACAGCCCTTGGGTAGGAACAATAGAAAGATCTCCACTTCTGGGTGAGGCCTCCACCTCTGGGAACGTTAGAGAACCAAACTAAGTCAGGAATAGGGGTGACAGGGCCCATCCCATCAGTGTGTTTTTGGGTTCAGAAGATGCAAATTGTTTTTTGTACCTGAGAGGATACCCCAGGTCAAGAGGCAGGGCATGTAGTTTGAAAAAGCCCATTCAATATAAATGTCTTATTGTTTTTGTAATAAAATCTGCAACAAGTGTGGCTTGATCAAATCTTTTTTGGCTGATGAGACTAAAAGCATTGCAGAGGGGAATGGGCTAGGAAAGTGTCAAACTGAATTATTTCCTCAGAGTAGGACATGTTTACTAAGACCCACAATTTCAGGGCCTTCCACAGTAGGCACCAAAGAAGGAAGCTCATGCTTCTTTCATTTGAGTTTGGTAGGAAAAGATAGATCACAAGCCAGTGGTGCTGGGATTTTTCTCTTTTTTTGTTTTTGAACTTGTAATTCCTGCCTCCTCTTTATATGATCTTCCACAATGGCTAATGTTGGTCTTAGTTTGTCTCTTATGAGAGCAGAACATTTCTTCAGTCTTTCTTTCTTTCTTTATCGGTGCATTCATTCTTGCATTCCAAATGTGTTTTGAGCTTCTCCTGGGATTCGGGTCTCATGCCAGTCATGGCACTGTGTGATGAGCAGAGATGATGAACAAGATAAACATGGTTCCTACCTTCATGAAACTAACCATCCAGAGGGGGAGAGAAAGCATTACAAGTGGGATGGCTGTTCAGAAGCGCAAGGTGCTATGGGTATCTGGACTGGGGGCAGTGACTATGGAAGATTTCCCCTAAGAGGTGATGGTTAAGCTAAGAACTGAAGCATGATCAGATTCATGAGGTCATCCTGAACAAGAAACAACTAACAACTTTCTTTTCATCACAGAATCTCGAATCCTGACCTTCTTAGAAACCTACCTTGCCTCGGGTCATCAGAAGCCATTGCCCACAGTACCTGGGGGATTGGGTCCAGTTCAGAGAGAGCTGGAGGAAGTTGCTATTAAATTTGTTCGCCTGGTCAACTATAACAAGATGGTCTTCTGTCCCTATTATGATGCAATCCTCAGTAAGATCCTCATTGTATCCTAACTTGTATGCACCCTACCGCAGCAGTATTATTCACTCGCCTCAGAATACCTGTTCTGAACTATAATGTTGCTTTGGAAAATGGCTATGTAGTACATTTCTATTTAACAGCACTGATTCCAAAGGGAAGAATATTGTGTATCACAGTTGAAAAGAGTTGTTGAAAAATGCACTGAATTCTATTTTGAGAGATTGTATTTATGAGTGAGTACAAGTTTACAAATCAAAGAAGCTTTTTGTTCTCTTGAGTTTTATAGGTTACACTCAGCTTTTAAATATTTGACTGCCAGTGTCTCCAGTCGTACTCCATCATGACTGTAGCAGCTGTGTCCTTCCAAGGAGGCTGGGACCTCTCTCCTTTGCAATCTGGGTAGTTCTTTCAGATACCCCAGGCTGACCGCCACCCAGGAGTGAAAGAGACCAAGCCATGACTTCACCTCTTGCCCCTCCTTTGCACAGCGCCCCCACTTCTCCCTCCAGGTATTTTGTGTTAGAAGGGCTACATGAAGTCTTACTGATATTTTTTTTTCCCTTTTCCCTATTTATTACTTCCTCCCTGCCTGGCACAGCCAGGGCGAAGGGTTATTTGATTTTAAAAACTTGTTCTTTTATAGAAAATTGCTCCTGACCCTGGGGTGATGACTTATGAGATCTAGAGAATGGAAATTCTTTGACTTTCAAGCCTTGGAAGTTGAGGAAATTTTCAAAAAATAGTTTAATGTGAAAGAAGAGCAATATCTGGGGTTTTTACTGAAAAATTCAGTCTAATAGAATACACAGATATGTTAATTAAATTAGAATTCTGGAATTAGATTTAAGTGTTTTACGATAAAATAGTTTACTGATCTCTGAGATAAGGAAGTCACAGAAAATCCCTGGGTTTTGAACAGTATTTTTCAAGGAACTTCAGTGACTAGAATTCCTGACATGTCCTCAGTGAGAGATTGTATAATCTCTCATTGAGAGTAATTTGGGTCTCACAGCTGATCTGTTAAAAAAAAAATGTGTGTGTATTTTAGACAGGGACATTATATTTGAAGCAGAGCCATGAAGTTGGAATAATCTCCAACTACCAGAACAGCAAGGGGTGAAATAATGTAAGGCTGCAGTCCCTAACCTTTTTGGCCCCGGGGACTGGTTTCATGGAAGACAATTTTTCCACAGACTGGGGGTAGGCGGTAGGCCGCGCCTGTGTGGCCCAGTTTCTAACAGGCCACAGACCCCAGGGATTGGGGACCACAGATGTAAGGAACTCCTTTATTGAAGCTGGGGGGGGGTGCAGATAGGGTTTGAAGGGTTAAAGGGGAGCATTTGCTCTAGGCCGTCTAGTGGTACAGGCTTCATGAGAGTGAGTGGTTACATTGGGTGGATATGATTTCTCCAAATACTACAAACTGTGCTCTACTGCTGTGTGTTACTTGCAGTCAGAAATGTATGTTGCATTATACGGTCAGGGTCATTAATGTTTAGACTCAAGGACAAATTTTCCCTGGCTTCTTTATAAGGATAAAGTTTAGTAAATAAAACATAAAAGCAATCCAGTAGTATCAGCACATAAAGACTTTTGGACAATAAGCTCAAAGAAACATGGAAGCCATTCCAGAAAGGCCCCTGAAGGTCAGCAGCTATTCCTGAGCAACCCGGGGAAAAGGCCACATTTAATGGGAAGCAGTTGTTTTTTTTCTGATCCCTCTGTGTAAGGAAAGCTGGCAATTTAAGAAAAACTTAAGAAGCAGTTGGGTTGTCCTTTAGAGGGTAGGTATGACAACATTCCTGATGCAGGGAGGAAAGCAGATACTCCGGGAGAAGGATATCAGACTAAGTAGTATCAGAATAAATTTAGTTTGTGTTGTTTTTGAGATTGTGGATGGTCCCAGGGTTTATACAAAGGATGTGGGTCTGGCCATAGGAACTCAGGTGGAAATGACATGTAAGCAGATGAGCACTGATGATATGGTAGGAAAAGAAAAAAAAAAGTAGAGCCAGGTATATCTTTAGGCAGTAGACTCTGAAGAATCTGGGGTCACTGTAAACTGGTGACTGGTCACATTTTATGTGAGTGCTTTTAAAGAACAAAGTCACATCTTTTACTGTGTGTTCAGTGAGGTCACTTCTGGAATTGTTCCTTTGAGGCTGAGGTTGCTCTGTGGCAACTGTGCCTTTTGGTTGTATGCTATCAGATTCTGGGCTTGAGAAGCCCTGAGCACCCAGCCGCAGCACTCTGACGCCTCAGCCTCAGAGTGTTGGGGGCTTTCTCTCCCCCTCCGAGGATGAGGGAGAGGAGTTTTTTCCCCCACCAGCACAGGATCAGTTTTTGCTTCCTGAAGTCCTTCCTAAATCTCAAAAACTCTTCTTTTGTAAGACTTAACTCTTACATATTTTTTCCTGTCATGGGTTGCTAAATTGACAGAGTTAAGTCTGTGCAGTTTGAAATCTTGATGCACATATAATATGGGACTTCACAGACTCACTTGGCCCCCGCTTCCTCAGTGTCTGCTGGTGGAGTTCTGCAACTAGCAAGAGCCAAGAATGAAGGAAGCAAACTTCAGAATCACAATATTCATATTGAATCATTTTGTTGTTGCTCTATGAAGATAAGTGAGCTAATTTTCTTCCTGGAATCTCATAGGATTATTACTAAGGGCCAGGAAAATCCATTTAGTTCATTTAGTTACTCAGGAAACATTACTAAGCATCTATGTGTAACTCCTCCTTACAGCTCTCCCTCTAAAACAAAACATCCTTTCAAGTATAAGTTGTCCTTCTTCAGAATTGAGTTGATTTTATATGCTTTGTTAAGTAACAGGTTTGTAGAGATAAGTGTTTTTTCCTAAAATTGCTAAGTTTTTGGTGATAGTACTTTACCACAGGATAGAAGCCTTGAGAGTGAGGTCAGTATCACAAAGACTCTTAAACCTATTTGATAGTTGAATGAGTGAATGGATGAATGGTCCAGAGCATTTTTTGGCTCTTGGTTGGATGGGTGGATGGATTCTCCATCCACGTGTTTTTCTTTTTGTTTTTTTTTTTTTTTTTATTTTTAGAGACAGGGTCTTGCATTGTTGCCCAGGGTAGAGTACAGTGGCACACTCATAGTTCTGTAACCTAGAACTCCTGGGCACAAGCAATCTTCCCACCTTAGCTTTCTGAGTAACTATGACTGTCTGCCTGTGCCACCACGGATGGCTAATTTTTTAAAAAGAATTTGTTTAGAGATAGGATCTTGCTGTGTTGCCCAGGCTGGTCTCAAACCCCTGCCCTCAAGATCCTCCCACCTTGGCCTCCCAGAGTGCTGGGATTACAGGCATGAGCTGTGCCTAGCTCTAGTCCAGGTGTTTTGTTTTTTTTTTTTTAATCTTATTCCTTTTAAAATAAGCCATAAAATGTTATAACCCAACTATAAATACAGAACCACACTGATATGATGTCTTAACTGATTAAATGTAGTAGGTAGGGTGTATAAGAACTTCTTTGTCTGTGAAGAAAAGTTACTAATAAGTTTGATTTAATAGGTATATAATGTGCATATACTGGCCAATGATTCTGAATGAATTATACAGCAGTTCAGTTTTTTGGAGGTACTTATTTTCATTTCTTCAAAGCCTTACAATTCCTGGGACTAGGGGAGGTTTTGTTGCCACCAACTTTCCTGGTGAGTTTCATAGCGAATAGGTGTTTGCTGTTTGATTTCCAGTGACCTTTTGGCCTGCCCTGATTTATATGTATAACATTTATGTTTAATTTTGAGACAGAGTGGTAGAGTAGAAAGACTAGGAGCTGTCAAAAGATAGGGTTTCTCCACTCTTATGTACTAGCTGGGGCAAATCGGGGCCTTTTTCCAACACCTATAAAATGAAAGGACTACACTTGATCTTTAAGCCCTGTTACAATTCTAACATTTGGTGATGGCAGAATTGTGCATAAAGCTGCAGATCTAGAGGAAGATATGGGTTTGAGTCTTTTTTTGCTCTGTTTTTCCTTACTGGTTGTATGATATTGGGCTAGTCATTCTCCCTGAGGCCTCAGTATTTTCATCTGTAAAATGGGAACACTACTAACTCATACCATTTTTTTGCTGTGAGGATTAGGTTTGGTAATGAATATTAGAATGACTGGTACATGGAAAAGGATTATAAATTGATTTATTAACAATAAAGAACATATAACCCTCTACCTATAGGTGCACATCTGCTATTGTGTTAGATTTCATATAGTGTACCCAGCCTCCCTTGAGTCAAGCACATATTATAGGTCTGTAGGGAAGGTTTTCTTCCTGTCCTCTCCCAAAACTGTTGTTACTTTTCATCATCTCTTCTATACCAGAGCTACAGACTTACCTTTGCTTGGTCCCGACATCCACCTCCACTCCAGTGATTTCTCCCTATCTCCATTTCTGTTGTTTGAACTAAATGAATCCATGAAGGAACAAATAAATGGATGAATGAATGGTAATGGATAATGGGCTATGAAGTCATATTTAAAGGCACTATCTCATTTAAAAAGCAATCTAAATAAATAACTACAATGGTATTTGCAGTTGTGTATTTATATTGGATTTTGTATTACATAATTTAATGGATAGCCTTTTTATTCATAGTATTTAAAGTGGGAGAAGGGATAAACTTTCAGCCCAATAAGCTCCATGTATTAACCTATCCAGTGTTCACTGGTATTTTCAGAAATAGCCAGAGTTCTAGAAAATATGTATCAGTAGCCTAAACAGTTTTACTTAAACTGTTCCTTGTGTGGGTTTCTGTTGCACCTGACTTAAATATATTGCCTTCTGAACCTAGGCACTAGAACCAGGCTGTAGGCCTGGTTTGATGTGTCACTTGTTTGATTTCGAAATCAGATGTGTCTGGTGTTAGTAGCACTAGTCAAATTTCACTTCCCTTAAACCTATTTTTAAGTTTGATTTATATGAACTAAACATTGAGAACTTTTAATTGCAATGTCTGACTTAAAAGTAACCTTAAAATTAAAATAAGTTCTCTGTTTTTTTCTCTGTCTTTCTTATTCACGTTGCCTCTGCTTTTTAAAGCACAGTTTTCTTTATACTCAAAGCAGAACTTTGGTCAGTGCTCAGGGAAGAAATTTAGTAAGTGGCTGAATTGTTTTTAGTGACTCTCATTCTCAAAGCTTGGTAAGCTGACCCTTCTGTTGAGTATTTAAGATTTTACTTAATATTAACTATAGGCCAATAGAAGCTTATAAATTATGAAATAAATTTATAATTATCAACCAAGGTAAATATATTAACAAAAATGGTGTATTTTTTTTTATTCATTTAGAGTGGTACAATTTGGCCATTCAGAGAGCTATGTTTACTAGTAGCTTCTATAACCTTTTACTTGGTGTGGTCACATAGATACAACATCTTGTTTAAAGTTTAGTGGTACGCCAGGATCAAAGAAGTCTGTAAAAAAAAAATAATAATAAAATAAAGTTTAGTGGTAAAGGCCAGAGTTTGACTAATTTTTGTTTAGGAAAGACAGTCCTTGAAAATTTTGTCTAGTTCTAGAATCTTGAGCTGTTGTAACTGCTTTTATAAAAAGGAAAAAATATATCTTTTGGCAATTTCTCTGGGTCCAGCAAAACTGATATATGAGAATCACTGAAGATGTAGAACTGATGATACCATGAGTCTGTACATTAGATTTCCAAAGTAAGTTCAGATGTCTCACATCATGCTGCTTGTTAAAGTATGTTTAACAAAAGGAATTATCAAATATTCAGGCAGAATCACTTTAAAAACTAAAAATTCATAAATATATAATAGTTAGAACATTAGAAAATACTTGCTTCTAATGAGAAATCCTTTTTATGTCTGAAGAACAGATCTTTCCTAGGGGGTGAGAATCTTGGAAATAAATGCAGTGGGAACAATTATACATAATGGCCTTAACAGTGATTTGTGGCACTTTTCACCAGGTGTATGTATATGTATAAAATGTTTTCATTACAATGTTAAAATCATTTTTCATGCAGGTTCACATGGTTTTGTTTAGTCACATATGACATTACTATTACAAACCACTTACAGTCACTTGAAACCATTTTGTTGTCTTCAAAACATTAACCACAAAAGATGACACTTTAGGAGAGTCTACACCTCTGTACTTTAAAGTCTATGCCATATAGTACTATTTGTGCCTTTTAAGATTGTTTTGTTGGCTGGGCATGGTGGTGTGTGCCTGTAGTTCCAGCTTCTTGGGAGGCTGAGGCAGAAGGATCATTTGAGCCTTGGAATTTGAGGTTGCAATGAGCTATAATGATGCCACTATACTGGAGCCAGGATCACAGAGTGAAACTATCTTAAAAAAAAAAAAAGTGGGAGGCCGAGGCGGGCGGATTGCTCAAGGTCAGGAGTTCAAAACCAGCCTGAGCGAGACCCCGTCTCTACTATAAATAGAAACAAATTAATTGGCCAACTGATATATATATATAAAATTAGCCGGGCATGGTGGCGCATGCCTGTAGTCCCAGCTACCCGGGAGGCTGAGGCAGAAGGATCACTCGAGCCCAGGAGTTTGAGGTTGCTGTGAGCTAGGCTGACGCCACGGCACTCACTCTAGCCCGGGCAACAAAGCGAGACTCTGTCTCAAAAAAAAAAAAAAAAAAAGATTGTTTTGTTGATAATTGTGATATTAAAAAAACCGCACACAGCTTGAAAGTGAAAATTGAGAGGATAACAAAATCTGAGAGACAGCTGACTTTGTTTTGAGGCAGTTTTAGATTTATGGGGAAATACTGGACACTAAACATACTTGTGACCAATTTCTATAAATACAACCTTGCTACATATAAATTTATAGGAGGAAATCATTTAAGATAAACTTTTTTGCGTTACAAGTGAGTTTTATTGAAAATTTGAAGCCGATTTTTAGTTTTAAGATTAATAACATCTGAATTCAAATTCTAAATTATCTAAATTATTTCCAATATGTAAGATAGTTTATAGCCAT